CAAAAGAGTTATTCACTCGATAAAGAATTTGTTTTTATTTCAACTGTACACAAATAGTCTAGCCTAAAAAGAAAAAGGGATGTATTAAGTCGTGATAATATTTCATTTTATAGAGTATATTATAGGTTTGTATTTCACGAGTACATACAACAAACATACAACTAACTGCGATCTTCTCCCTACATGTCGTTGCTGAATTTTCCGTTAGTTTAAAGTATGAGATAAAAACAAAGCAAGCAGACTGCACTTGTGAATCTGGGCGGGAAGTGCTACTGGCGTTCAGCAGCTCGGCAAAATTAAAATCCCATCTCCCATGGTGCTCCCATGGTGGAGACCAAAACTCCTCAGTATCATATACACACATACGCGCACACAGCAACACACGTACAAGTACACGCCCGCACGCACGTACCCACACACATTTGTTTTCTATTACAGTGTTTTAATTTCTTTTTATTTTTTTAACTTCCTTTTTGTTATATTAACTGTGACCATGCTGAGGTCCCGGATCAGATTCCCGGGCCGGGAGAAATATTTGTATAGCCTACATTATTTATCTCGTGAATTTGGGTGTAATTTGTGATTGTCTATGTGTGTGTCCATGGCACCTGCGACACAGGGTTTCCCTGGTGTGGGGCTATATATGTGTGCGTTATTATTATTATTTTCTTTGGCTTTTAATCCTATGTCGTTTAGGTAAAAAATCATTGCTTGTGATCGAGTATTGGAGACCAGGAAACTCACAGCACAGGCCTAACCTTTATTCATAACTGTTGTACTACCTATATCAGAGACAATAAATTATTATCGTTTATTATTATAAGTTATTATATTCCATCGAGTGAGCTATTTCCTGCATGCCACATTAAAAGTTTAAAAAAATCTGCTGCTATCTATATAGGTACCATCATCACGGCCACCAGAATTAACCAATGTCAATTTAGTAACGGCTCTCGCAACGCTGCACCTAATTACAGGTTAGAACAAAACGATTGAGGAACCCGTCTTATAACGATCTTACATCATCGCACACGCACTTGTTTTGATAGACAGTCGTATTAAAAAAAACTTTGACTGATGTATCCAGCTCATTTATCAGAATTAAAAGTGGTTACACGCCTCTTTGCATGGCCATCGCATTAGTTTGTATACCGTTAGCCATTTGCCACAGGGTATGAGTCCAAAACTACAGCATTTCACAAGTACGACGTCTCGCACTTTCTTCATACTTTCCACGAAATAACGTGCCTTCGCGAAAGGCATAACTGGCTGAGGTAATATTGATATTCTTCCCGTGGAGTGTTATTAAGAAGAAGGTTGTTACGATAACAAGTAGATATAATATGGATCAAATCTGTTTAATAGTGACAGAGTGATGATAAGTTTATTGTTTACGAGAGCATAATGGCGTCAATCAGATCAGTTCCGAAGGAGGCACACATCAAGTCATTATAAACACAAAATAACTAGTAAGAAAAGTTTGATTCGCTTGGATTCAAGTGGTTTTTAAGTATATTACTTAAATGGAATTCTAATAGAAGTAGAGCTCGTTGTGAAAAAGTTTGTACGAAGTAAATACTGCCACATTACCTATTTCTGCCGCCAAGCAATATGAGTATTAGTGCGTTCCAGTTTTGAAGGACCAGGGTGCTGGTGAACTCACAGGCACATGGCACTTGTCAACTTATGTCTCAGGGTGACGGACGCAGTGGAAGTGCGCCTCAGCTCTCAACTAATATGGACAGGAGTATCGCTTACCATAAGTTCGTGCCGTTACTTAGTATCATAAAAAAACTTCGTCATATAGTTCAATGGACCGCTCTATGGATTTAACGAACTTAATTAGCGAAAATGTCCATATTCAGAAATAAAAATATTAGAAAGTATTTATATTATTAAGACTGAACTTTAAACTTTATAGACGTATAAAATAACAATTATGGATATGCAAGGTATAAAAATAAACATATTTATTTTTAATTAACATTTTCAACTTTCCATGCATATCCGTCGCAGCTGCAATATAAACTCTATGAGAAGTTAATGTTTTTTAATTTCCGAATGATGTTGTTTAATGAACCTTTTATATTCTAAAGTACATAGAGACAAGACAATTCAAACAATAATAAGCAACTTTATTTACGAAGCGCAGTGACCGAAGCTTTCTTAGCATGGCAAGTTGCACAATCTACGAACGAAATTACTCGATCGTTCTCCAACCAATACGCATGAAATTTTAAAGTAGATAAAAGATACAATTCTGCAGGTCGTAACAAAACCAAAAATTTTAAAATTCGGTCTGTGACCTGAACTAATTCAGACTGTAGCCTAGCCTTTGCGAAAATATGAGAATATAGAGAGCTTGAATCACAAGATTTATTATTATTAAAATTTTATAAAAAAAAAGGCACAATTATTGTAAAACACTTCCTATAAAAGTAACTAACAGAATATTCACCCCAAAATGGTCGGTATAATTATATAATTTTAAAAGTGGTCGACGTGAAGTTTAACAAGATGAAGGTGATTTATTTATTTTATTTATGAGAACGGTCCTCTCGTTTCAAGAACTTTGATCGTAGTACGACGGTTAGAACAAACGTAAGGATAGTGTAGGAAAAAAATTTCGAGGACGATTCAAAATTTCAAAAATAAGTGGCCAGGAACCAGAAAAGAGCATAATAAAAAATGGGATGGCGTGTTAGATTTATGGAAAAGAAGTTTAATTGTAAAATTATGTGAAAGTATCAAAAAAGAAAAATAAGAAATAAAAACTGATGCGGCTTCGGTAGGGAATCGATATTATTACACAAATACTTGTTAACAGCTCTTCCTTTATGTTTGCACTCTTACTTAACGATATGACTATAAAACGATCAAATTAACAACACGCATCTAAGATAATATCTCAGATGAAAGAAAAGAGCAATTTTGTGCAGTGAATCGTACAAGTTATACACAGTCAATCAATAGAGTCGTGTTTATGTAACAATACGAAAGTTCGATTTCCTATGTGCAATTAGCGAACTATCAATCAGTTTAAGCGAATCTTTTCAAACTAATTCCGTTTGACGCTCTCACATTGATTTTGTTTGTGTAAAAAGACGACAATGACGATGTAGAGATGGTGTTAATGGATAGTATGTGGTTAAACATTTCTACATCATCACTTATTATATCTACAACATATTAGCAATAAAAGAAATTTGCCATCAGTGGTGATAAGCTGTTTGAAAGTGTACAGGACACTAGTCGACGCATAATGTACAAATACCGGCAGATCAGACAGTCACCTTCGGTTCGGGCTTTCAGATGTGCCGTTTTGAAGACTTGGGGTTGTTGAAACTCTTTATGTATATGGCTTACAAAATATTTGTTCACGCTTGAAATATTTATTTTCAGTTTTATTTTGTACATTTATTTTATTATATATTTGATATGTATTAGTAATTTATTTATTATTTATGTATTCGTATGCGTATTTGACATAAGTAATTTATCTGTGTAATTATTGAGTATGTAGCATTAATTTTTATGCTTATTTTTTATTAGCCAAGCCTGGAACCAACTTTCTTCTCAGATATTCAAAGTTTAGTTAGTAGTTTGTATACTAACAATTTAAATAGTCATATCGAGTTCTCAAGTTTTCGCTATTGATGAACATAGGAAATGAAACAATTTTTCGGATCTACGAACGTTTCGGACCCTTTACAGGTCTCGTGGTCACAACAGACTCACCATGGAACCTATAAAGCGCTCGAAACTTTAGTTTGTTTGAAAAATCAAATATATGCGATTTAAATTCGAAAAATACTATCATTTCCTAACTAAACAGGCGTTTACATACGTATACAGGGTAATTGGTAAATTACTAACAATTTCACAAAACTATAATAAATAAATAAACCATTTATTGTCTCCACAAACTTTATTACTAACATTATAAACAACAACTTTTGTTCCATAACTTTTTATAAAACATGCTAAATTCACAAAAAATGAACGTTTAAGTTTTTGTATTACTATCTCATAAAGTGTAGATCTGTATATGGTAGTAAGTTGTTAGTAAGTTCAAACGTGCAAGCGTCCACTCGCGCTCCTGCGATTGCACAATTATCTTATATCTTATTGTTTCTCTCACAAAGTCTTAGTATAAATACAAAAACAGTGCTTAATTATCTAAATAGTACAATATTTAAGTCTGTGTGAAAGACTGGCATCCGTACTAGGAGACCTGTATTACAGATCACCAGCCCCTCCACACTCCGGACCAAAAGCAAGTACATTTTTTAATTATTACTGTTTTGGTCGATATATTGAAATATTTTTATTTTTTTAAGAAGGTAAAAATGTGAGAAATTATTAATAACATGGAACGATAGTTATCTTTCATTATGATAGTAATAATAATAATAACGTACACACTCATAGCCCCGCACTAGGGAGACCCTGTGTCGCGAGTGCCATGGACACACACATAGACAACCACAAATGACACCCAAACTCGTGAGAGAAATAAATGTAGGCCATACAAATATTTCTCCCGACTCGGGAACCGAACCGAAGACCTCTTGCGTGGCAGTCCAGCATGATAACCGTTCGGCCACTGAGGCAATTTAATAGGAATACAGTCCTGTGAAGTCGTATTTTTTTAAATACCCTGTAAACACAGATTGGTTGTTGAAACTTATATTATGATTCTCTCAGCTCCGCTTTGATAAGTAATGAGCGTTTCATAATATACCCCGCGTTGTAATAACGGTTGAAGCCACCTAAATCTTGAACATTGTGAGGTAGTGTTACTATATGTGCTTTGTCGCTCATGAGCGGAATTCATTTCTGACACTCAAGAAAACAATGTTAATAGGTCCAGCACACTTATTTCTTTACGAGCACGCTGAACTCCTGTTCATACACTTCTATGTAAATTTAGAAAATCCCGTTTTGACAAAGTGGTGCGCACTGGGTAAGTAGATAATAAAATAAAAGTCTCTACTCACTGACGGTTCCCACCTCGGCCGATAGCAAGATCTGAAACAGATAATATCACTTAACAATGGCCTATTAGCTACGAACCGAATAATTCGGGTAATCAGATACATGGAAACGAGGGTAACTTTCCAAGACACCTGATAACTGAGGGCTATAAATTTGGAGGTATTCTTTTTAAACACTTGTCATAATTCAGATCTTTCACGGTCACACCTGAAAATGGCAATATTTTAGAAGAGAGGATTAATATTGAGAGAGAAAGATTAGGAAGAGAAAATACTACAAACGAAATTTGTCGATAACTTTGTATGTTTAAATAGGAGAGTTAAAAAAATTATATATATACAACAGTTCTTTCTTATTCAAAGCTGCAAAGTTATTGTTTGACGCGAGTGATTATATTGAAACCTGAGCAAGCGAGGGTTGCGAGAATTTCAAGCCACGAGACGCAAAACAACTTTGCTACCGAGCGAAATACAACTTTCCACCTCCCTATAGCAAGAAAAATGGTAGATGAGAGAAAAACAGTTGAAGTATAACAAATTATGTGTTTATATATTATGTTTGTTAAAACTAATACAAATTACAAGTATAAATTAGTTAAAAAAAAATAGTTATCCTTGTTAATTTAAGGTCAACAATAATAAGAATAAAATATACCAACGAATTTATATTACATACTTAGAATAATAACGCATAGAAACCTAGTCCGCACACGCTAAGTGAGGCAAATTGAAGCGCGCCCAAAGGGCCTACACGAGCGGGCGGGCCTTCAGTGCTCAAGGTCAACTTGCACCGCGAACAGATCAAGAATTTTAGCTAAAAATGACGAAGTGTGCGGTAAATGAGTGTAAAAATACGTCAGACAAACATAAAATAGATACTAACATCACATTCCACAAGGAAGTAACGCGTTTCAACTTGTATTTTTATATAAATATTCACTAAAACCGAAAATGAACCTACTACTAAAAATAGCCTACATGAATTTGATTTTTGCCTCACTTGTATTATTATTCTAAGATTACATAAATATTATTCGACAAATCACGTAGTTGAACGTGTCATTATTATTTTTTTCATCGAAAGAAAAAGTTAGGTGCACCACAGTCCATCCTCAAATTCAAGTTTCAAAAACCTTTTGCGCGCAGATTTCTAATGAGAAGGAAAACCTCTTCGAGCTAGTAATTTGAAAAATTAGTTTAATGTAGTTCGTATTATTAAATTAGTTCGTATGATACTAACTACCGAGTTGGCGTCATAATGGGTGTCTATTAGAGAAAAGACAGGGAGATCAAGAAATAGAGAAATAATAACGATTATCTAGTACACACCAACAAAATAATTTTGGTAGCAAATTATTAAATTTTACTTATAAATTCTAGGGTACTTTAAGGTTCAATAAAAACTTTTTTCGGAATTTATTTTCAACTCTTCATTTAGAACTTCTTACTAAGCAACTGACGTCACTTTAAAAAAATTAGCGCGTAAAAAAAATAGAGATGAAAAAGTTATGTGAGGTTCGATTTTTTGAAAACGAAATTACGAGTATTCCGTTTCTCTTCTGGAAACAGAATGTCAAAACTTGTCAAATTACAATACAAACTATATCACACCCCGTATTCACCAAATTTGGCCCCATTTGACTTTTTATCTGATTTTTATCGATTTGCATCAAATGAGGATATGAGAGTTGAAATAGAGGTTTATTTTTCTGTTTGAAATTTCTTTCTGCCGCCAAGCAAGTAATGTGAGCATTACTGCGTTCCGATTTCAAAGGGTTAGGGTGATGGTGAAATTACAGGCACTTGGGGTTCATCAACTTATGTGTCAGGGTGACGTGCGCAGTGTCAATGCCCTTAAAATCTTTGCAATTTAAAGCTCTGAGTGGCACTGCAACTGTTATGAATAGGCGTGTCTGTTACCACCAGGCGCACGACTTGTTCGTCCCGTCGTATGGTATTACAAATAAAAATTGCAGGCTATTTCCGAGCTCCGCTATCGCTTAAGCTCCAACAATCGCTATTTTTACAGCCCTGCAGGCAGTTACGCTTAAAAAATTCCATAATGTGAGAAAACATTTTGTTTCATGCACAACAAAATATTTTGTGCGAATAAACGTGCTTGTTTGAGACACCATTGTCTTGACGTACGTTTAAGACTTGTCTACTGACGTTCACGTCTTAATTATGATCATTAAAATATAACCATATTTCATGATCTCTTTAATGGTAGTGTCTAATTACTTCTTCCTCGTTTAATCTGGGTTTCGCTTTTTTTAAATAAAATTTCTAGTAATTATAAGCTTCAATTAAGTCTAAGAAGATTTTTAATTAGCAATTTTTTTAAATATCACAGTGTAGCATCATATTTCACGTATAAATTTTACATATCTGCATGGTTTATAGATTGGTTATTATTCAATAAAAGATAATCACGCTACCCACTGCCATGAAGCTTAAGCGTACGTACATTCATTTATATTATTCTATAATTAAAACAATCTCATATAGCCCTGTGGTGTAATATGGCCGCATCTGCAACATGACAACTTTTCTGGAGACGCTTTAAATGTTATACGAACGAAATTAGTCGATAACTTTTTTAACCTTGAGAGACACAGACCCGACACTTTATTTCAGAATTTATTTTTTCACAAACGAAACTAAAGCCATTTGGAAAATGTATGCCGTATATTATACGTGTTCTACTTAGTTTAGTTGTATATGTGAAGCACCTATTGAATACAGTGGTTTCCTTGTAAAATTTCGGGGTGAGTTTGTGTTTGTTTCTATCACCGTATCGTCGGTGTACATCATTAATTTTACCATTAATTATATTTTTTTCTAAATGATTGATTCAATACTTTCGCTGTTATGCGGAATTAACCAAAGCCATTTGAGGTAGCATAAACTCTTAAATAGGAGAGTTATAAAATTTCACAGATACATAATATGTTTGATGTAGCTCGTATTATTTTTATGGCTTTCATGTCATGAAACCACTTTTGACGTAGGCAAGAAAAAATAGATAGGCCGTCCGGGCTCAACAAGCTCTTTGATTTTTTTGGGTGTATTCTAAAACCAGCCTTCTAATATCAAGTTTTTAGGTTTTGGCGATTGTTATAGATAGGAAATGAAACTATTTTCTCGAATTAAATCCCGTAATATTTGTTTTTCTAAACAAACCAACGTTTCGGGCCCTTTACAGGTCCCATGGCCACAGATAACTATGTATCTAGTCAGCTTTAAATTTTTGGCCTCTTATATCTTTTCTACCCAACTATTCCACATGAATTTCTCCACATTATTTAAGTACTTCTGAATATGATTCAACAGAAGGGATGCAAGAACCATTTAAGATACGAGTCAAGTAAGTAGAGTCGCCTGCGGCTTGGTCTTCAATTGCCTGTTTCTTGTTCTTTGCAAGAATGTCGATACTATTATCACACAGTGAATTTCTAAACAGGTAGAATATTTAACCTTAATGCTCCTTTACCTTAACATTAAGTTAGTAATATTTAGTAGCAATAGAGCTGCTTGTGAAAGAGTTCGTCCAGTGAAGTACCTTACCTATTTCTGCCTTCCTTCAAGCAGTAATGTGAGCATTACTGCGTTTCGGTTTCGAAGGGTAATGGGTGACGGGCACACTTGTAGTGCTCATTAGATCTTTGCGATTTAAAGCACAGAGTGCCATTGCAACTGCTGTAGATAGGCGTGTCACTTACGACCAAGCGCACGATTTGGTTGGCCTGCAAGTGGTATCATAAAAAAAACCATCGTATAGGCAACTCTAACAATAATCATAAAGTTCACGCTAGTACGTAGATCATACCAACACAATAAAACAAAACATTGTAAAATTCGCGCATGTGCTTACGTAGTGTTACTTTGGTGCCATTTTATTACTGAATCTACTACCAGCCGGAAATCACCTCCCATAGAGATTGATATCGAATACATCCATTTGTAAAAATAATACAAACCGCTACAAACAACCAATTAACACCTTCTAACCAATGTTTGAAAAACTCGAACAGTAATCGCGTTAAGTTGATTTATTGGACACAAAGTACCTCCATCCAAAGTTCGATTAATGCTTTAACAACTTAATAAATACCTGACATATCTATGCAACCCATCTGTTCACAAGTGGTTTTGACTAAAATAATATATATACATAATATGCTTTCCTCCTCTCAGCCTTGTTATATTTTATAACTAGGGTGTACCATATTTATGATAAGTTGATAAAGTACTAGACGTAAATGTTTTTATTAAGCATAAAAAGTAGACATGAATTTGAACAGTTTGGAAATTGATAGATCAATTTGAACAGAATATAAATTACTTCAAGAATAGAATACTTACATGTATTTAGAAATGGATGGTAATAAAAGACGACTGAGCACTGACCAGAGCAGATACCAGTTTAAAAAAGCACTGGTTCATCCTATTTACAAGGCGGTTGATAGAAGCAAAGTAAACAATTACAAGCCAATCTCGGTCTTACCTACTTTGTCCAAGGTTCTTGAGCGAATTCTCAACAACAGACATTTTCTAGAATCTCGTAACATATAGTCTGTTAATTAGTATGGTTTCAGGAGGGGTAGGTCTACGGCTAGGTAGGATTACGCATTTAGATGAACGAGTTAAATGTGTCGGAATATTTTTGGACTGGGCCAAAGCTTTCGATACGGTGTCAATCCCTCTCCTTCTGCTTAAGCTTCAGGCTTTGAGTATCAGAGGACAACAGCTAAGTATGTTTCAGAGCTACCTAAAAGGGAGATCCTAGTGCGTAAAAATTGGCTCTTATGTAAGTAGTCACCAACCAATTACCATAAGAGTTCCCCAGGGCAGCATTCTAGGTCCTAGACTATTCTTCACATACATAAATAGCCTATGCAATCTAAAAGTTAATAATTGTAATATTCTCTCATAGGCAGATGATACGGCTTTAATTTTTACAGGAATAAATTGGGACGAAATCTATCGGTCTGCACAGTCTGGATTTAATATTGTCAGGAAACCGCTGGATAA